TGTTCACTGGGGCCTGGGGAAACATAGGTTCCTTCTGGATTTCATTTCCACAGTAACTGCAGATTCTTTTTCCAAGTGTGTACTTGGCTGGTTGCACTTGATGTCAGCGAGGAGAGGGAAGAGGGCATTGTTACTTGCTCACTGACCTCGGAGAGCAAGCTTCATTGTTTGGTCTCTAGGACCACGGCCTCATCTGTACATGCTGATGGCTTCTGTCTGGTGAGCCAGGAACATCCGAGTAGCATGCAGCAGGAATCTCAAGGAATGATGGGCTTGTAAAGCTCCCTCACCTTGAACTCGGGGGCAGCGATCTCCACGTCAGACAGCTGAATTCTGGCAGCTTTCTATAGCCCACAGTGCCAGCTGGGGGTGGGGTGGTCTCCCAGCTTGATGCCTGCCGTTCCTGTACTAACCAAGAGTGGTCTTCTGATTCTGCCTGCAGCGGGAAGCAATCAATTGCCATCGATGACTGCACCTTCCACCAGTGTGTGCGACTCAGCAAGTTCGACTCGGAGCGCAGCATCAGCTTCATCCCACCAGATGGGGAGTTTGAGCTCATGAGGTACCTCTGGGCTGTGAGGAGGCAGGGGTGCTGCTGGCAGGGAGCAGGGAGAGGGAGTGGGACACACTCCACATTGCCAACCTTGTTCTCCACCCCCAAAGGTATCGTACCACCAAGGACATCATCCTTCCTTTCCGGGTGATCCCTCTCGTGCGGGAAGTAGGACGCACCAAATTGGAGGTGAAGGTAGTGATCAAGTCTAACTTCAAGCCCTCACTGTTGGCCCAGAAGATTGAGGTGAGGATGAGGAGGTTGGGGAGGAGGAAGAATGTCTCCCCAGGAATAAAGGCAGCTTGCGTCAGGCCTTGACAGCTCCCATGTGTCACTCCTAGGTGAGGATCCCAACCCCACTGAACACGAGTGGAGTGCAGGTGATCTGCATGAAGGGGAAGGCCAAGTACAAGGCCAGCGAGAACGCCATTGTGTGGAAGTGAGTTTTCCTTTAGGGGCCATGGCAGAGCTCCAGATGTTGCAGTGTACCTTCTTTACCCTTTGTCCCCTAGTGCGGGTTGGAGGGCAGGAGGAGGAGTGTACGTGTGCTTCTGCTTCTGTGTCCGCCTTTATGTGCGTGTGCGCACATGTGCACATGCCTGCCTGCACTGGGGCTCACACACGCACCCTTGCGCTGTATCTGAAGCAGACACAGGCCAACAGATAGCTTGTCTGTGTACTGAGGCAGAAACTGTGGCCCAGAGTACCAGACCTGAGGTTCTACAGCAGGTGGTTTTCAGGGGCCTGACCAATTTTTCCTTGTGCTAGCACCTCTCTTAAGCTCCTGGGCTCTATCCCTGCTTGAAATGGGCAAAACAACAACAACAACAACAAAAAAAAAAAAACCCAAAATTCCTCCAAAGCACCACAGGCACTTGCTGTCTTTCCAGGATCAAGCGCATGGCAGGCATGAAGGAATCGCAGATCAGTGCAGAGATTGAGCTTCTGCCCACTAATGACAAGAAGAAGTGGGCTCGACCCCCCATTTCCATGAACTTTGAGGTATGGCCACAAGAGGGACCTAGCACCAGCGCAGGGTATGCTGGGAAAGATTTGAGTGAGTGCTCAGATCAGCTCTGTACCTTAGAGATGAGGACACTGAGGCCTAGAATAGGGATGCGACTTTAATTCATAGACCCATTTCTTTTCCTGTCAAGCTTCTTAAGATAAATTACTGATCACCCTGAGAAACACTTTGACTTTGACTTCTCTTGGCTTGCCACAAAACAGTTTGAAGGAAAAATTTAGGTAGAATGCCAGGTAAGATAGCAAGCTTCCTTACAGACAGAGCAAAGAGCTGACTTTGCCTTGTGCATTTAGACATGTAATTTTCTCCACCTTATTTTTCAAGTCCATAATATTGAGCAGGATAAGTATGTTCTAAGACAGTGCTCTAGTTGCTGCATCCTGCTGATTAAAGGAACTGATTCAAGTTATCACAGGCAGGCCTGACTTTAAATCCTGGACAATTGCTAGTTATTCTTGGAGATGCTTGCTTCTTCGGGTAACCTTTTAGAGGACTCCCCACCACCCTTGCTTCCCCAGCTTCTTTCAGGATGCTTGCTGTCCAAACACCTGCAGTAGATTGAGATAGGGCAGAGTAGTGTGGGAGGAAGGTCACATCCCTAACTGGAGCTGTCCCTTGCCCAGGTGCCATTCGCGCCTTCTGGCCTCAAGGTGCGCTACTTGAAGGTGTTTGAACCGAAGCTGAACTACAGCGACCATGATGTCATCAAATGGGTGCGCTACATTGGCCGCAGTGGCATTTATGAAACCCGCTGCTAGCTGCCCAGAGACAGCTAGCCCACCTTCCCACCCACCCTCCACGGTCCGGGTACCCCCGGCTCATCATGCATCAGTGTCTTCTCCATCCTGCTTTGCTGCCTTCCCTCTGCACCAGCCCCTGAGTCTAGGTCTGGACCAACCACATTGCAAGCGGGACTGGCAGGGCAGTCCCTGGGCTCCTTGGCAGGGTGGTTTCTGGGGCTCCTGCTCTTCCATCTGTCCGTCTGTCCTGGCCCAGTGCCAGGCTCTGAGTTCTGTGACCAAAGCCAGGTGGGCCCCTGTCCTCCCCACCCCTGTGGCTACACCTCTGGAGCGGGAGGGTTGGCTGCCTCTCACCTCAGAGCCCCCCTCCAAAGGCCAGTAACAGATTCCCAGTCCTCAGACCCTACTCTGCTTTGGGATAGTGTGAGCTTCATTTTGTACACGTGTGACTTCGTCCAGTTATAAACCCAATAAACTCTGTAGAGTGGAGTTGTTGGCTAAATGTTGACGTGGAAGGTGTGGGCGCAGGAAACCAATGGGATGCCTTCCCAAAACTTTCTTACGGGGCCTGCTTTGAGTAGAATTTTCCATCATGAAAGCTGTTCAAGTTCTCCCCTTGTCCTGTCCCGGTTAGGCCCCTCTTGGGCCATCCAATCCCTTCTCAGAAGTGTAATCCAGGTCTCCTGGGTCCTCTAAGAAAACAGCCTCAAGCGCAAGCAGCCTCAACCCAGCCCTCATTCCTGAGGGCAGATTCTTTAACCCACTCTAAGAGTACAGTGGACTCTTGAGTTACAACCAAAGCCTAGAGTTAGGACCCAAATCCTGGCTGCTTGTGCTTCCAGGTAGTCTCAGATAACCCTTAAGGAGTTCTGGAAGAAACATGACAAATCCTTTTCTGTGTGGGGTTGAGAAATCCTGGGCTGCTATCTCTAAAGATGCTGAGATCTGCCTGTACACAGGAGAGAGACTTTGAAGGCTGTGAGCCTTTGCTGACCAACTTGAGTTACAACCAGCCCTTGCAAAAGAATTGAGTCTGTAAGTCAAGGGTCACTGTCGTTTTCCGTTAGCTTAAGTCAAGGTTTACATTTGGTGTTTGGTCATGCAGCCGTCCTAAGAAGCTGAACTCAGTTTATTTTCCCACTTAGCCAAGCTTCCTCCAGTCTTGGAGGATTTTATTTTCCTCGTGGTGCTTAGAAAACCTCTGGTGGATACTTCTACCTCTGTAGACAAAAATGTAGTAATGAACTAGTCCCTGAAGGCAGTTACGCTGGGTCAAATAAAAGCAGATTTGCCCTCTCCTATTTACCCTTGCTTGGTTTCAGCTCTTTAAGACAAACGTGTTAGAAAAGTTCAAACATAACCAGAAGCAGAATAACTGAAAGCCCACGTCCCACCATCCCACTTCAGCACGATCAACTTGGGGCCAGTTTCTTAACATCACATCCAGTGTGTGTTCCCTTAATCCCAACTCCTACAGTTTTCTGCAACCTGCGTCCAAACAGTGTCCGTTGTGAGTGTCTTAATGCATCTTAACAATTCATACCTTTCCCTTCAGCTCTTAAAATTTAGTTCCTGGAATTGTGTAGTTTCCCCATCGGAATCTGACGGTCACGTTCCTCTGGAGTCACTTAACATTGTCCTCTTTATGTGCATTTCCTGTGGAATGTTATTAGATCTAGAGGGTCAACAGCTTTTTAATCTTCAAATATCCAGAGCTACTGTGGTGGCGCACACCTGCAATCCCAGCACTTGGGAGGCTAAGGCAGGAGGATCACAAGCCAGCCTAGGCTACCTAGCAAGACTGTATCAAAATAATCAATTTTAAATAGCAGGACTGGTTCCTTGCTGTGGCAATGCTTAATCCAAAAGGATGAAAGAATAATGTAATTTTATATCACCTTTTTTTTTTTGTACCAGGGATCAAACTCGGGACCTTGTGCTTGTGAAGCAGGCGGTGAAACCAGAGTTAAATCCCAACCCAAGAATAATGTAATTTTAATAATGTAACAGACGCCAATTTTAGAACCAATTGGCAGAATATTCATGTAATAAGGCAGTAGCGTCATTTGGGGAAAGACCTTTTACTGACACAGGAATTCGAGGTGTAGAGAAGTAGCTTTGGGGGTAGACGGGTAATATACATAGGCCACGATGTCTATTTGGGTTTATGGCCTTTTCGCAGCAGGTCTGTAGCTGGTGGGCTGTCATGAAAGTGTGAAACCACAGCCCTGGTGGCTTGGGGTGGGGGCTGAGACCAGAAACTGGAACAGAACAAAACCAGCGGAAGCACAGGCCTGAGCCCGGGGCGGGCTGCAGTGAGTCAGCACAGCACTCGGCGGGCTGCAAACGGGCCTCGAGGGAGCGCCTACAACCCTACAAAGCCAACGGTACTCTACCAGCCACGGGACCACCAAGGCGTCGCGCCCGCGCCCCGATAAACAGAGTGCCATCCCCCCAACCCCTTGCCTCGCGATCTGCGCCTCCCAGGAGACACTGAGAACCACACCTGTAGCTTATCCTGCTTCCCAACAGGATTCGCGCAGGCGCAGAGGGCGCGGCTCCGGCTAGACTGATCCGCGCTTGCGCCTAGCTCGGCCAATCGCGTTCACCCGGCCTAGCCGGTTCCGCGCTTTCCTTACGTCACCGCTACTCATGCGCTTTGGAGAAGGGGCGAGCTTCACTGCGGGGAGCGGGGGGCGGGTCTCGGCCGAAGTCTCACGGCGACTGCGCGGACGGGATCCTGACTGGAACATGGCGACTTGCGCTGAAATCCTGCGGAGCGAGTTCCCGGAAATTGACGGACAGGTCTTCGACTACGTGACCGGTGAGCCGAACGTAATCTACGGGCTGCAGAGGCCGAAATGGAGGTCGGGTGGGAAGAGTCAGAGAGCGCGGTGCTGGGGACCGCTGCCGGGCCTCTCCTCCGCGTGACCTCTTGTTCGAGGGCCGGTTACGTCTGGAGCTCGGGCTGGGGCCGCGGTTCGGACGCTGCAAGTGCTTGTTTGACCGCCCTAACGGGTATCTTCCTCGTCCTGACACTCCCGGCCCAGGCGTCTTGCACAGCGGCAGCGCGGACTTCGAATCTGTGGATGATCTGGTGGAAGCCGTGGGGGAACTGTTGCAGGAGGTGTCCGGGGACAGCAAGGATGACGCGAGCATCAGGGCCGTGTGCCAGCGCATGTACAACACTCTGCGCCTGTACGCGCCGGGAGTAGAGGCCGATGGTGGGGCAGAAAGTGTGATGGTCGAGGACCTTTCCCCTCGGGTCCTAACTGCGGTTTCTATCCCTACCCACGTAGGGCTGAGCCACAGAGCCAGGGACACAGCCAGGTTCTTCTGGACGCCCCCATCCAGTTGTCAAAGATAGCGGAGAACTATGGTAAGAGTGAGCGGACGTTGAACTAGCTGCCCTAAGTCCATTCCTCAGCGTCCTCGCCCAGTCACCTGCCCCTGCAGCTCGGGACAAGGGTTGTAGGAGCCAGGTGGCATGTTTAGGAGAGCAAAGAGCCTATAACGAAGGGAAGAAAGATGGAGGGTTTTTCGACTTCTTGAGTATTACAGTAGGAAGCATAAGGATGGGCTTTGAAAATGGTCAGACTTAGCTTAACACCCACCCACCACCCATCCCCTAGTTTGCAATTTGCAAGAGTTGTTTGTGAGAGCCGGGGATGTGACTCAGTGGCGCTGCACCTGCCTGGCAAGCTCAAGGTCCTGAGTTCAATTCCCCGAACCAAAAAAAAAAAAGTCTATGTGCCTTTTCTCTATCCTTATATGTGAGGGGATTTGGGGGGGTCAAGATTACAATCCCCAGGATTGTAATACTTACTTTAGAATGTCTATGTGCTTGGTTCTTATTAGTCAAAATACTAGTTTCCTTTTCCTCAGGGAGAAGGTGACTTTTTTTTTTTTATGCAGACTGTGACATAAAACTTCCGGGCCTGCTGAAGAGGGACCAGTCCTCGGTGAGGAGAAGGGAGAGAGGGAGGAGAGTGTATCTGTAGTGGGGGTTGGAGTATCTTTGGGGAGGAGGGGATTGCTGGTTTGTGTCTCTCCCTGAACTTCTGAATCTATTCGGCACGGATAAGAGGTGAGGGTTTACTTGAGTTGTTTTCTCTGAGCCTACAGTCTAGAGTGAGTGGTTGTGTTTGGAATTCACTTAGACAGTGAACGCAAAGAAGTTGGAGAAGGCCGAGGCGCGACTGAAAGCCAAACAGGAGAAGCGCTCAGAGAAGGACACGCTGAAGACCAGCAACCCTTTGTGAGTTCAGGAAGAACAGTTCAGCAGAGAACAGGGCGGTCGCTGCCAGGAGAGAAGGGTGTGGGAGCACTAAAATCTGTCCATTTCTCCCTTTCAGAGTCCTGGAAGAGGCATCAGCCAGCCAGGCAGGTAGCAGAAAGGAGAGTCGATTAGAATCTTCTGGCAAGAACAAGTCCTATGATGTGCGAATTGAGAACTTTGATGTGTCTTTTGGTGATAGGTGAGGGAATGACATAGGGGGGCCGTGGCTTTTTCTCTTTCCAGTTAAGGGAGAATTTGGAGAGAGAAAACAATTTGGGGATAAAAACAATGTTAGGATTCTTTTGTTAAGCTTGCTGTGGTCCTGTTTCCAGTGCTCCCTTGGTCTCCTTTCTGCCACTCCTGCAGGGTACTGCTGGCTGGAGCAGATGTGAACCTGGCCTGGGGCCGCCGCTACGGGCTAGTAGGACGGAATGGGCTGGGGAAGACAACCCTGCTGAAGATGCTGGCCACCCGGAGCCTGCGGGTTCCAGCCCACATCTCCCTGCTGCATGTGGAGCAGGAAGTTGCCGGGGATGACACTCTTGCCCTGCAGAGCGTGCTAGAGAGTGACACCGTGCGAGAGGACCTGCTGCAGCGGGAGCGGAAGCTCAGTGCCCAGATTGCTGCGGGCAGGTGCGGGCTCCGGGCTCCAGGCTCCAGGCTCCAGGCTGGGGAATGCCTACCAGTGTCCTTCACTGAGTGCCCGTCATGCTTTCGCAGTGCATGATTCACACGGCCACCCTAGCAGTCAGCAGAGTGCCCTTTGCCCTTGCTCCTTGGGCAAGGCTTTCCTGTGTTCTGTTCTTGTCCTGGCAACACGCCGCCAGAGGCCTGCTTCTTATCTTTATGGGGTATAGGCGTCCACTTAGCCTGGGTGCTCTTTCTCCTTCCCAGGGTAGAGGGCTCAGAAGCTACACAGCTGGCGGAAATCTACGCTAAGTTGGAGGAGATTGAAGCTGACAAGGCACCTGCCAGGTATTTTAGGTTTTCCTGCCTTTTGTCAGATTTCCCCTTTTGCATCCTATAAACTGTCCCAACTAGATCCTTTGATTCTTCACTCTTAGGGCATCAGTCATTCTTGCTGGGCTTGGCTTTACCCCTAAAATGCAGCAGCAGCCCACCCGGTGAGTCGCCCTGGCCTGTCTCGGCTCTGAACACTCAGACTCTGCTCTTGTTTCCCCTGGTGAACACCCACCCCTGATGTGGTCTGTCTGTCTGTCTATAGGGAGTTCTCAGGAGGCTGGAGGATGAGACTGGCCTTGGCCCGGGCCCTGTTTGCTAGGTGAGCGTCCTGGGCCTCTGTAGGGAGCCCTTGGAACACGACCTTGAGCCTGGCCTAAGTCCCGTGTTCTTTCTTGTAGGCCAGACCTTCTGCTGTTAGATGGTGAGTTTGAAGTGGGCACCCTGGCTCGAAGGGGCTGAAGGGGGTATAGTATTCTTCCAAGTTCTCCGGCTCTTCAGTCCCAAACACGAGCTCCCCCACTTCCAGAACCCACAAACATGCTGGATATCAGGGCCATCCTGTGGCTGGAGAATTACCTACAGGTAAGTTAAAGGAAAGGCTTTGGACTGAGTTTCGGGAAAGCCAGCCTCCAAGATCCTTGGCCTGGGGGCTGACTCCCATCCTGTGACCCCTCAGACATGGCCCTCCACGATCCTAGTCGTCTCTCACGACCGCAACTTCCTGAATGCCATCACCACCGACATCATCCACCTGCACAGCCAGCGGTTGGACGGTTACCGGGGAGACTTTGAGACCTTCATCAAGAGCAAGCAGGAGCGGCTACTCAATCAGCAGCGCGAGTACGAGGCACAGCAGCAATATCGCCAGCACATCCAGGTGTGGGGCAGGCGGGGCCATGGGTCCAGTCCGTGGGTGTGGGAGCTGGGGTGCTGCTGGAGCCTGACCAACACCTGCCCTCCTCCCACAGGTTTTCATCGACCGCTTCCGCTACAATGCCAACAGGGCCTCTCAAGTGCAGAGTAAACTCAAGATGCTAGAGAAGCTGTGAGTAGAGCCCTTGGTCAGGCTGCGACTCCTCCTGTTCTCTGTCTTCTTTCCTTTCCTTTTCCCTTTTCCTCCCTTTCCCTTTTCCCCTTTCCCTCCTTTTGACAATACTGAGGATTAAACCCAGGGCTTTTGCACTGAGCTACATCCCCAACCTACCACCCCTTTTTTTTTGAGACAAGGTCTCGCTGTGTACTTCAGGCTGGCCTTGAATTCATTGTGGAGCCCAAGCTGGCCTTGAATTCATGATCCTCCTGCTTTAGCTTCCCAAGTGCTGGGATTGCAGGCATGCATCACCAAACCCAACCTTTATGTTTTGTGGAAGTCTTTTTTTGTGTGTATGTGGTACCAGGGATTGAACTCAGGACCTTGCACTCGCCAGGCAGGCACCGCGCAACTGAGCTACATCACTGCCCTCCCCTTTTTTTCTTTGAGACAGGGTCTTGCTTTGCAGTTCATGCTATCCTTGTGCTGTGTAGCTCAGGCTGGCATCGAACTCATAGCAGCCCTCCTGCCTCAGACTCCCAAGTGTTGGAATCACAAGCATGTGCCATCATACCTGGTCTGGCCTGCCTGTGTGCCAGCCTGCCAGTCTGCCTGTCTTTTCTTTTCTTTTCTTTTCTTTTCTTTTCTTTTCTTTTCTTTTCTTTTCTTTTCTTTTCTTTTCTTTTCTTTTCTTTTCTTTTCTTTTCTTTTCTTTTCTTTTCTTTTCTTTTCTTTTCTTTTCTTTTCTTTTCTTTTCTTTTCTTTTCTTTTCTTTTCTTTTCTTTTCTTTTCTTTTCTTTTCTTTTCTTTTCTTTTCTTTTCTTTTCTTTTCTTTTCTTTTCTTTTCTTTTCTTTTCTTTTCTTTTCTTTTCTTTTCTTTTCTTTTCTTTTCTTTTCTTTTCTTTTCTTTTCTTTTCTTTTCTTTTCTTTTCTTTTCTTTTCTTTTCTTTTCTTTTCTTTTCTTTTCTTTTCTTTTCTTTTCTTTTCTTTTCTTTTCTTTTCTTTTCTTTTCTTTTCTTTTCTTTTCTTTTCTTTTCTTTTCTTTTCTTTTCTTTTCTTTTCTTTTCTTTTCTTTTCTTTTCTTTTCTTTTCTTTTCTTTTCTTTTCTTTTCTTTTCTTTTCTTTTCTTTTCTTTTCTTTTCTTTTCTTTTCTTTTCTTTTCTTTTCTTTTCTTTTCTTTTCTTTTCTTTTCTTTTCTTTTCTTTTCTTTTCTTCCTTCCTTCCTCCCTCCCTCCCTTCCTCCCTCCCTCCCTCCCTCCCTTCCTTCCTTCTCTTTCTTTCTTTCTTTCTTTTCTTGTTTGTTTTTTGAGAGTCTCACTATGTAGTTGAGACTGACCTGGAACTCACTGTGTAGCCCAGGCTGCTCTTGAACTCAACAGCGATCCTCCAGCCTCAGCCTCCCGAGTGCTGGGATTACAGGCCCTTTACTTATTATTTTGAGACGGGATCTCATTAAAGTGTCTGGGTTGATCCTCCTGCCTCTGCCTCCCAGAGCGCTGGGATTATGGGGTATGCACTGTGGCACCCAGCCATTACTTCCTGCATTTTGCAGGCCACCTCTTGCCCCTCCCCACATTCCAGGTCTCCTCTGGCAGCTAGCAGCCTACTTTGATGCACTCCCCTTCCTCAGAGAGCAGAATATGCTTTTTTGTATTTGCTTTCTGTGGACTTTTCGTAGAAGTGGAACAGCAGTGTGCTATCCTTGGTGTGTGGCGGCTTTTACTTAGTGATTCCTGGGGGCATCCTTGTGGCACGCATGAGTACTTCTGTATGTATTCTGTTCCAGAGTGTGGCTGTACAGCATTTAGTTTATTGATTCATAGGTGATGAGCCCGGGTTGTTCCCATTTAGTTGTTAAGAAAAATGCTCTTGCCAGGCATAGTGGCGCACACTGTAATCCCAGCACTCGGCCACAAGGCCAGCCTGAACTACGAAGCTAGACCCTGTCTCCAAAAAAGCTGTACGTTTGTGTGCAGGTTTTGGAGTGGGCATATGTTTTCATTTCATCTGGGTGCACACCTAAGAGTGGATTTGCTGACATATATGGCAATTTCATATTTAACTTTTTGAGGTTCTGCCAAATTACTTTTTAAAAGTAAAAGCACTATTTTATTTCCCTCTGAGCACTGTATAGAGTTGTAATTTCTCCATATATTTGTTTTAGCTGTCCTGTTTGAGTGTGAAGTAGTCACAGTGAGACTTTTTTTTCTTTTTGGAGATGAGGACTTGCTGTGTTGTCCAGGCTGGCCTTGGACTCATTATGTAGCCCAGGCTGGCCTCGAACTCACGCAGTCCTCCTGCCTCAGCCTCCCAGATGCTGGGGTTACAGGTGTGCTCTACCATGTCCTGCTCATACTCAGTGAGACCTTGTCACTTCACTTAGTTAGCGTTCCCTTAGTGGCTAGGGATACTGCACGTTGGGGTTTAGTTGAAGCAGCCTTTCTAGGAGTCCTGGGCAGGATGTGACTTCACACGGCTTAGAACTCTGTGACATAGCAAAATCAGTGTATTAGCTAAAGGTGAAAAGCCACACACACAGAAGGGCTGGGGATGTAGCTCAGCAGGAGAGCACCTGGCTGGCATGCACAAGGCCCTGGCCTCCATCCTCAGCACTGCATAAATAAACGATAAAAGTCTTTGGATTTCTGTTTTCGAATAAAAGCTTTAAGATGCTATAAGAGATGTGTGATTCTCTTTTTCAGCAGATAGTAAATTAAAACAGTGTACTCTTAGGGTAATAGTAACGGTGTAGGAGGAGCACGAGCCTTTTCTAAGTCTTCTCTCTCAGCTTATATTACTTGCACAAGAGGATTATTGGTTGGGATGCTGGGGATGGAACCTACGGCCTCACATATGCTAACAAGGGCACTACCACTGGGCACGCACCCGGCTGGCCATCAGTTTTTCAGTCATAAACCCGGTCTGCCCCATCTCTCCCTGCAGACCGGAGTTGAAGCCCGTGGACAAGGAATTGGAGGTGGTGATAAGGTAAAGTGCTGAGCCGGCGCTGGGGGTGGGGCCTATTCTGGCCACGCCCAGACGTCCGCACTGCTTCCCGCAGGTTCCCGGATGGGTTTGAGAAGTTCTCACCGCCTGTCCTGCAGCTGGATGAGGTGGACTTCCACTACGACCCTGAGCACATCATCTTCAGTCGCCTGTCGGTCTCTGCTGACCTGGAGTCTCGCATATGCGTGGTATGGTCGCTGTGTGTGTGTCCTGGGTGTGGCTTGGGCTGATGCTGGGGCCTAGGAGGAAGAGGGGCCCGGGAACAAGAGCTGGCCAGAGAGGGAGTGCTGCCCTGACACCGCCCTGCCTGTCCTCTGGGCCCACAGGACCACCCTCAGAGAGGAGGAGCCTGCCGAGGGCACTTTGTAGATTCTAGAGCAGCACTTTAACCTTACTGGGCACGGTTCTGAGTTATCAGCTACGCGGCGTTGAGGCAGGAGCCTGGTTTCAGGGTGAGACTTCAGGTCGTGGCTGTACCATCCCCTGGCGGGTTACCGAGCGCTTTCTTCTTCCTTAAAAGGGAGGGAACGTCTGCCTTACTGGTAACGGGCACAGGTCAGTCCACAGCACTTGGCCCCTGGGCGTCTCTAGCTCGCTCATCTGCACAGCTGCCTAGGCATGTTTTCGGCGGTCGGTCTGTCCCTCCGTCCTCCGCGCGCGCACGCCCCTTACCGTTCTCACGCTTCTTGCAGGTTGGGGAGAATGGGACTGGGAAGTCCACCATGCTGAAGCTGCTCATGGGGGACCTGGTGCCCATCCGCGGCATCAGACATGCCCACAGGTGAGGCGCCGGCCACCGCATGCTCCCGCACGCCCATGTCCCCAGCCCTGCCTCCACTCCTGCTCTGCTCTGCTCTGCTCCTCCTGCAGGAATCTGAAGATCGGCTACTTCAGCCAGCACCACGTGGAGCAGCTGGATCTGAACGTCAGCGCTGTGGAGCTGCTGGCACGCAAGTTCCCAGGTGTGTGAGGGACACGGCTGGAGCAGGAACCCTTGCCGGGGTCGGCGTGGAGTAGCCAGTCCCGGGGTGGGACTTGGGGCACCGTGACGCTAGCACCTTCGCAGGGCGGCCGGAGGAGGAGTATCGCCACCAGCTGGGCCGCTACGGGGTCTCGGGGGAGCTGGCCATGCGGCCTGTTGCCAGCTTGTCTGGAGGCCAGAAGAGCCGGGTGGCTTTTGCTCAGATGACCATGCCCTGGTGAGTCCCCGACTGCCCTGTCACCTTTGTACCAAAGAGCTCCGTTCCCGTCTGTGCCCTCCTCCCATCCATGCCCACCTGCTGCCTTCCAGCCCCAACTTCTACATCCTGGACGAGCCCACGAACCACCTGGACATGGAGACAATCGAGGCCCTGGGCCGCGCACTCAACACTTTCAGAGTGAGTGTCCTCCCTGCCCTGCTCCGGCCTGCTCCTCCCTGGCCTCGGTGCCCCGCAGGCCCGGACAGCTCCCGCTCTCCTGTCTCTCAGGGCGGCGTGATCCTGGTGTCCCACGACGAGCGTTTCATCCAGCTGGTGTGCCGCGAGCTGTGGGTGTGCGAAGGAGGCAGTGTCACGCGGGTGGAGGGGGGCTTTGACCAGTACCGCGCCCTCCTCCAGGAGCAGTTCCGCCGAGAGGGCTTTCTCTAGGCCTCTAATGGGCTGTGCGGACTGTGCCTGGAACGCCATACGGCCATGGCCTTCCCCAGCGTGGGACAGCCTTCTGCCCAGATCTCTCTCCTCCGTCCAACTGGAGCGTCTTGTGCACATTAGGGCCCCCATCCGAGGGTCTGTGAAGACTGTGTCCCAGGGGAAGGAGTGGAGGAACCTTGTGGGGTTTCAGAGTCTGCTTGGCCCCACCCAGCCCAGCTGGGCCCCACGTGGCTGCTATGTAAATTAAACTTCTTCATCTACCTGCTCCGGATGCTCCCTGGCCAGCGGCTGCCTGCTGAGGTGCGGGCTCTGCTGGGCATTTGTTTCCCTGCGGGAGCAGCGGTGCCTCCCTGGCCTGGGCACAAAGATATCTGCGGCCTGCGCTGGGTGGGCAGAGCCAGTGGAGGGCAGCAGCTCTGCATCGCCACGATGCTTAGCCCAGCCCGGGCTTGGCCTAGGCCAGCCACAGCGAGCCTGGTAGAGTCTCAGTGATAGCGACAGTCCGCGATGGCCCTGGCCTAGGCTGACAGGTCGTGCTCTGCTGTCAGCCCCTACAGCTTCTGAGTGTGAACTGATTCTGGGGTCGGGCCTCACACGTGGCTGCCCATTTTCTCCGGGGGTGTCTGACCCAGACTCCCCCACACCCTCCTCTGGACTCTCAGGACACGAGAGAAGTCATCTTCATTCCTGTTTTGCTTGAACGGTTTCACATTTATGTTTCCTGTAAGCACTAGGCATGGGAAGAGGGGCATTGAGAACAGTCTAATGAGAAGAAATAGGACCCTGTGTTTTCAGATTAAGCCTCTTAGGAGAGGAAGCCGGGAGCAGTGGTACGCTCTTGTACTCCCAGCTGCTTGGGAGGTGGTTGCTCGGGGCCAGCCTGAGCAGCATCATGAGACCCTGTCTCTGAAAAGAAAAGGCAGGGAGGCACGTTTTACCAGTATGATTTGTAAATGTTACCTCTGGAGGATTTAGTTGCTGTCTCCTGTCATGGCAGTGGAGGGAGCAGAGTCAGAAGCAACTCGCCAGCCCCTTGGAGATTCCAGTCACAAAGCTCAACTGAGGAACTGAGGAGAAAAGCGTGTTCAGGGATGGCAGAGGGAAAAGACGGGGCCCCTGTTGCCCACAGAGCAGGTCTGGTGCTGCTGTGGCCAAGCCTCCGGTCATGTCCCCCCTCAGCCTTCCTGCGGGTGCTCTCGGCCTAGCCGTTCCCACCGCCGTGGGCCCTGTGCGTGATCCCAGCACTTGTGAGGCTGAGGCAGGAGGATCACTGTGAGTTCAAGACCAGCCTGGGCTACATAGTGAGCTCCAGATCAGTCACAACTACATAGTGAGACCCTGTCTCAAAAAGAAAAACAAAACAAAAAGCACAAGGTTCCGAGTTTAATCCCTAGAACCCCCCCCCCCCCAATTGAGACAGGATCTCAGTAAGTTACCCAAGCTGGCCTTAGGAGGAGATTCTCCTGCCTCAGCTTCCTGAGTAGCTAAGACTGCAGCTGTATACCACCTTGCTTTGCAGGAACTGTAACCTTAAAGATGGCCTGCACTTCGAAATGAAACAAAAAAGTGAAAAGGAAGCTTAGCTGGTGGGGGTGGAACTGAGAGGAGTTCATCTGAAACCCTGCAGCCAGGCTGTGGAAGCCCCACAGGCTGCCTTCCAGCCTGACACAGCTGGGCTGCAATGGGAAAACTAGCCAGTGGTTCTGCAGGTCCAAATCTCATGGTAACGTCACATGCCAAGGAACAATTTAGGGATCTGTAGGCCCAGCCTGTCTCCTGAAGGTATCTGAATCTCCCCAGGCCAGCAGAGGGAGGTCAGGACTTTCGGGCAGGCAGAAGCCCTTGGCCAGGCCAGCTCCAGGTTGGCCAGAAGCCCCTGTCAGCAACTGTGCTACCATTGCTTCCTGAGCCACCAGGAACCACTTTCAGCCTGCCCGGTGGAGTCCGTGGTGCTGTGTTACGTGGCCCTTTCCTGCTAATTCATCTCCAAAAGCCAGGTCTGTTAGAGCCGCTGCCCCTCATCCGTCCCAACTTCCTGAAGGCCTGCACTGCCACGCACATATGCCTTATGTCTTCCATGGAGCTGCAAGACTGGGAGCCAACTTTTTTTTTGACAAGGTCTCACTACGTAGTTCGGGCTGACAAACTTACCATGTGGCCCAGGCTGGCCTTGAGCTCTTGGCAAGCCTCCTGCCTCTGCCTCCCGAGTGCTGGAGTCCCAAGCATGTGCCACCACGCCCAGCTGATCCCTGTTTTGCTAGAGGAGGAAATGCAGCATTGGATGTGGTGGGATTGGGATCCAAGGCCACCGTGTAGCTCTAGAGCATGGCTCTTCACCACCACGTTTGGCTACGGCTTTTCACAGGACAGCGTGGTGCTGAATAGCCATAGCCTGCGAACCTCTAACCTCATTACAAACTGCTTGGGCAGGGACATCAGGCGAGCCAGCTGGGAAGCAGGAGCCCCGGGCACCATGGCTGACACAAGCCTGGTGCCAGTGAGTAAAGGGTGCAAAATCCATAGTTTAGTGAGGAAGTCACGCGTCGGCATTAGCCCCGGTGATCTGGGCACCAGCAGGTTTACCTTCCTCAGTAATTACCCACACCCATAAAATGGGCATCGCAAAGGTTGTCTTTTTTCCCTTGAGAAAGTATCTCACTGTGTAGCCCGGGCTAGCTTCAAACTTGTGACGATCCTCCTGCTTCAGCTGACACCATAGGTGTGCACCTCCCTGCCTGGTTCACACAGAGCTGTCTTGCCTGTCGGGGCATTGGGAGGATTTGCTTGGACAAGGTTGTGTGTAAAGCGACTACGAATTGTAAGCTGGGACATCCCTTGGATCCAGGAGGAGTCCAGGGGGCAGCAGCCTGAGCAAACACTGTCCCTCGAGACAGTCGCCCACAGGGCTGGGGATTTAGCTCAGTGGCTCTGCCACCTGCCTCACACACACACGCGTCCCGCCTCAACATCTGCAAGCCAGGCCTCACGTGAGGCTGCCTTGTTTGCCGTTTACACCCTTCTGATGACGCGTAGATCACGTGCTGTAGTTCTGGGCTTCATGCTTCGTTATGTGAGACCACTGGGTGCTTTGAAAGTGACTTGTTTTGCTTTGCTTTACACAGAAGCCTTTGAAACCCTAAATTAGTATGAATACTTGTCAAACCATGCCAGGCTTTTTGTTTCTCTGAGATAAGATCTCCCTGTGTAGTCCAGAACCCACTGTGATCTTCCTGCCTCAGCCTCCCAAGTGTACCACCACCCCACCTAGCTCCTTAGGTGGCTTTCACACCCCAAGAGGATGCACTGACCAGGAAAGATGGCTTTTCAGGTAGCTGCATTTCTAATGCTGAATTAATAAACTGACATCTCTTCTGAGATTCACCTGTGTAAGACAAAGTCCCTGAGCTTGAACAGTAATTTCCTGAGCCCTACAAAGCGAGCCCTGTTCTTTGCACTTTATGAGGTTAATGGACGACAAATTCAGTGCAGTGTGTGTTAGCCAGCTTGTCGATGGAGACCCTCTGAGCTGCAGCCTGAAGTGGTGTCACAGGGAGGCCCGGGACAGGAAACACATGGACCTCTGACCCGGGCCACACCTGAGCCTCCCACCTGGGGGACGCCACCAAGTGTCCAGAGAGTAACATGAGCCGGATTTGGTCACTGATTATTACATTTCCTTAAAAACTTCATAGGGGGGCCTGGCCTGGCGGCGCACAGCTGTTATCCCAGCACTTGGGACGCTCAGGTAGGAGTCTGCCGAGACCAGGAGCTCAGGGCAGCCTGGACAACATTACAAGACCCTGGAGAGAAGACAGAGACAGGCAGACAGAGCGCCCTTTAGGACGCGATGCTGCTCGGTGCCCGCCCTCACCTATCTTCTTGGCTGCTCAGTGGCATCCGGCTGTCAGCACCCCCGGAAACCTGAGGCTGCCGCTCCCGCTTGACACAGGCTGCTTCTACCTCACCTGGAGCCGTCCGAGCACAGGTACTGAGGCCTCGGCCCCTGGGTGCTTGTGACAGCACAGCAGGAAGGTTTGGTCCAGGACAGTCGGGGAATCTGTGCGAAGAGCAGCATTGTTTTTGTCCATGAGCTCGCTCGAGGACCAAAGGTTCAGGGACTTGGACGGGGAGGGCAAGGCGTGGAACTGATTCGACATGAAGTTGACATTTCCTCTTCGGGTTTTTTAAGTTCAGGCTGACCTTGAACTCACTGTGTAGCCCAGGCTGGCCCCGAGCTCACTGTGATCCTCCTGCCTCAGCCTCCTGAGTACTGGGATTACAGGCGTGCATCCCCACACTTGGTTTGATCTGACACTGTTGCTCACTTTTTTGAATGTCCAAGATGAAACTCCATCTAGATTCAGGAAATTCCACAACCCTCTGAGTTATTTAGTGCCTCTGAGTTTTCAGTTAGTAATATGGGAATTAAAATACACCAAAGACATAATGATTAAATGACACAATATACATAAAGCACTGGTTTAAAAAAGCTTTGTATACAGTAGATACAAAATAAATGCTGGTCCTAGGTAGGATATATGACCACAGGGTGAGCCTGTAGCAGGGAGGGTGGGGGCAGAGCACAGCCCTTAAGGACAGAAAGAGCCCCAGTGACAGGAGGCATCTGGAGAGGGTAAGGCCCTTCCTGCTCTGTGGACAAGGGTGGCCGCCAGACAATGAGAGAGGCAGGACTCACAGTTGAAGAAGGAAAACACCAAAAACCTGAAAGAGCTGGAAGTCTGTAGTACTGGATGAAAATCAGAGATGCTGATGTGAATTTTGGCTTTTATTTTTTATTTTTTGGTGTGTGTGTGTTTTTTTGTTTCTTTTGAGGCAGGGTCTCACTGTGTAGTTGAGACTGACCTGGAACTCACTATGTAGCCCAGACTGCTCTTGAACTCACAGTGATCCTCCTGCCTCAGCCTCCTAAGTGCTGGGATTACAGGCGTGTGTGCCACCATAACCGACGAATTTTAATACAAAGAGGCAGATGGATATAAAAATTGCAGGGCATGGTGGCACCGATCTGGAGCCCCCACTCTAGAGGCTGAGGCAGGAGGATCGCTATGCATTTAAGGCCAGCCTGGGCTACATAGCAAGTTCAAGACCAGCCTGAACTACAAAGCAAGACCCTGTCTTGAAAACGCACAAAGAAGCTGGGTGTGGTGGTGCACTCTTGTAATCCCAACACTCGGGAGGCTGAGGCAGAAGGATTGCTGTGAGTTCTAGAGCAGCCTAGGCTACATAGTGAGTTCCAGGTCAGTCTCAACTACATAGTGAGACCCTGACTTAAAAAACAACCACAACAAAAAGCGCACAGCAGCGAGAGCCAGGGATTTAGCTCAGTGGTGCTGCCACCTGCCTTGCAACCACACTCCGATAATAAAATCCCACAAAGAATTCGATATAGACAGAAAGATTAAGAGCATATATGGCTCAGCCCCAGCTCTGTCTCTCTAGAGGCCTGGAGAAGTGACCCCCAACCCTGCCAGCCCTCCCAATAGGCAAGCCAGTACCCAGATCTTAATTCCAAACCACTGTAAGGTGCAGGGTCCCTGGGGAAAGGGCTGATTCTAAGACCGAGAGAAAGAACTTGTGAGATGAACCCACAATCTTATAGTAGAAGTAGCTGAGAGCAGCAGTGCACACCTAGGAGGCTGAGGCAGGAAGACTGCAAGTTTAAACCCAGTCTGGGCAATTTAATAACAGCAAGACCCTGCCACAAAATAAATTTTAAAAGGCTGGGATGTAGTTCAAGTGAAAAGGCCCTGGGTTCAGTCCCCAGTTCTACAAAACAAATGGACAAAAGAAAGTACTGAAGGAAGGACAGAAAAGCTGCGTTGAAGTGATCCTGCTCTCCAGCGCGGTGGTTCAAGCATCCGTGGGGACCAGGACAGCGAGGGGCTCCAGCCTCGGCTGTCGCAAGCGTCCACACTGGCGTGGCGTCCGCATGGCAATGTGTGGTGTGTTGCAGGTTTACTGAGTGAGGCGCTGCAGACTTTGTAAGAGTCCACCCCACACAGTTATCAGTCGTGAAGGGGAAAGGAGAGCGCAGAGGCCTGGCAGACACCACCTTGGTCAGAGAGAATAGAAGCGAAATCAGCCGGATGGACGGACAGACGCCTCACCACTGAGGGACACGATGGAGCTCAGTGCTGTGTCTGCAGTGTTCTTGCCAAGACTCAGAGGCTCTAATCCCGAAGAACCAGACAAGCCCAGCCGGGGAGCAGTCTACAGATAAACATCCTGTGCTCTTGCAAAAAATCAAGGTTGTGCTGGCTCTAACCTCAGCACTGAG